AAGGATGGACAAGTGGAAATGAGGATATTGATGATTGCATTAAAGAATTTCAACTCAGAAATTCTGTATATGAGGATGTGATTGAATGGATTCCATTTGATAGAATAGACAATATTACAAAACTTGGTGAAGGTGAATTCGGATCAATATATAAAGCAACCTAGTTTGTTGGCTTACGAAAAATTGATGGCAATGATTTTAATTATGTAAGACTATGTGAACCATCCAGCATTGTTGCTTTCAAGACTTTGTCTGGTTCAAATACAAATACAAGTCAGAATTCCCTTGATTTTTAAGCAAGGTAGGTTAAAATTGTAATCTATAAACTTATGTAATAAGCCCATTTAACTAACATTTTTATATAATCTCCAAGTTTAAAAATAATATGCAATGCATATTATATGGTAGTGGACTTCGGATATATCAAAAATTAATGAATACTTCATGGTATTTCAGTATGCTGATGATGGTAATATTCTAAGTTTTTACGATCAAATTTTAATAAACTTACATGGAGATTCAAATTAAATCAACTCAAGGATATATCCAAAGATCTAGTCCGAATTCATGATGCAAGGTATATTCATGCTGACTTTCATGGTGGTAACATACTTCACAATAACGGTACTTCTTATGTTTCGGATCTAGGATTATCTAAAAAAAATAATGAAATTAATTCAAAAGGTGATATTTATGGTGTTATGCCTTACGTTATTCCGGAAGTTTTGTCAGTTTACACAAAACGCAGATATCTATGGTTTTGGTATTATTATGGCTGAAATAACAACTGGTCAAAGACCTTTCGATGGCTATGAATTTGAGACTGAAATTGTAATCAAGATTTACAATGGGTCGCGACCAGAGTTTGCTCCCGGAACTCCTGATTGTTATATTAAATTTGCAAATCAGTGCATGAATTCAGATCCACAAAAACGGCCTGGTGCTTATAATATTTATTATATAATTGATTTTTGGCTTAATCTGTTAGTTTCAGATTCTGAAAATGAAGTCAAAAAACTGTTCTTAAATTCTGATGAAATTATTAAAACATTACCGATAATTCCTCAAAATAATCCTGTCATATGTATACTAGCAATTAAAGGTATTATTTAAAATTAAAAAGTTAACTAAATTGGTTTATTTTCTTGAAATTAAATATTAATATATATTTTTTGTTAGATTCTTCTTTATTTAATCTTTATATTGAAAGTTTTGGTATGTATAAACAATCAATTTATTTAATAATTTGTAATGAATTTAATCTACTTTTATATTTTAAGCAGATAAAATATAATCAGTAATTTGAACTAAGAAAAATCATCAATCAGTTAATCTAATTGAATCCTTTAAAACGCTGGCGTTGATTAGTTTTTTGCCAGACACTGTGTATAAAAATCTCAAAGTGTTGACCAAGATCAAAGCACTACGTACTAAAAGTGTAACTAAATTAGTGTGCTAAAATACTTTAGCAACATTTAATAAAAAGTGCTATTAAATATGATGCTACGTATACCTCGATCACTATATCAAGATCACGGGGTGCCTATAAAAATTCGGGTACTGTAACCCAGTGATTATCATATGGCACTCGGCCTAATAGGGTTAGAGATAATTTAGGCTGTGCTAGTAAGCAAATGCGTCATGTAGGTCACTGGGTTACCTGTTCTTGAAGTTTCCCGAAAATTCTGAGCTCGTCCATTTAAACATTTCGGTTGGCCGTCAAAAACATGATCTAAGTGCAAAATTCATTAGTATTGTCCGACTGCGAAAAGTTGCGTTAATGATTCGTAAAGGTTTGAGGCGTAAATCGCTAACAGAACTTTGTTTATAAATTAAGTGGATCCTCCTTCCATATCATAATTAGTGTTGGAAATTCAAACTGACTTTAATGTTCTCATGAGAACTATTTTTAAAAATTAATTTCTCAATTTTAAAAAAATGTTATCATTTATATCGAGCTTACTCAGAATAATTTTCTATGAATTATTAAATACAGTATAAGAAAACTTTTTTTTTTTTAAAGGAATTGTCTCAAATTAGGTTTGAGAACATGAGAACATCGAATTTCCAACAAATCATAATTGCAACCCTCATAATTTTTATATACTACTTCGTTATTCGTAATTTTACTAAAACTATTTAACCCGCTCATCTATATTTATGAGAATCATCAAATTATTCCCCTAAAACTATTGGATGCTGAATTGGCTTTTGTATTGATAAGTTTCCATTCTCTTTCCAGAGTATTTCCAACACACAATAGTTACAATAACCAATAATTGGTGGCTACAGATAACTTATCGTTTACGTACGTACGTACGTATACAATATATTCATACTAACAGATCTTGAATGAATTCATTTCATACAATGTTAATAATGATGTTCAACTGTAATACTAAACCATTAAATCCACGTGCCTATAACAGATAAGTTTAATTGTTTTTCTGGATGTTCTATAGAATAGGTGGGAAAACTCCGTTAAACTCCGCTGAATATGTTAAATTAGTGAAGCATATTTCTTATATTACCCACCTATTCTATAGAACAGAAAATTTTATTCAGTTATCATTATAGATTTTTCACATACATTATTAAAAGAGCATGAAGAATTTTTTATTATATTTTTTATTACTGATAACATACATATTTACAACCACGACCGTCGCATTTGTACCTGGCAGTCGTTATTATCAGGGCAGCGTTATTAATGGAAATAGAATATACTTTTTAGGCGGTATAAATGCATTAGAAATAGGCACTAATGAGCTATTCTATTTGAACGTTTCTTCACCATTTAACAGCGAAAATCTTAAGTGGACAGATCTCACGAGTAATGCGCCTATTCCTCTCCGTAGTGCATTTTCACCTTCTTGTGTTGGTGGAAGTAACAATTCTACTATATTTTTATTCGAGCATCGTCAGGCAAATGATCTTAATTCGACTAATTTAGTGACCTTTGCTTTCGATTTAATAAATCAAAAATGGACTGTGCCTTCAATATCAGGAAATACACCGCCACCCAGACAGAATTTGATGGCTGTTGTTGATAAAAATGGAAAAATATATATTAATGGTGGATTTAATCCATATGCAGGATATACAAATAATGATACTTACATATTTGATTCTTTGAAATTATCTTGGGTTACTGGTCATAATGCTCCAATTAATCGATCTGCCTATACTGCCACACTTTTATCAAGTGGTATTATAGTATATATTGGAGGAGTAAATGACGGCGGGCTTCCGGAAATTGATATGACCAATGTAATAAATTTTTAATGATTTGTTTAAATATTCCTTTATAATAATTATGTTTTTTTAATTCTACTTTATTATTTTAATTAGATTTCACTTTATAATACTAACACTGGATTTTGGTCTATAATGGTAAGTAAATTATTCTATTATAAATTCATTCAAATATTTATTATTGATTTTTTATGAATTATTAAGAATGCTATTAGCGATACTCCTATTATGGGTCGTCGATCCCATTCAGCCGTATTAAGTATGTAGTAAATTTTCAAAGTAATAAAGTGTTTATCGTTTTTATTTAACTTATAAAATTATTATTTATTTATAGAGAAGGATGGTTCAATAATTATTTATGGAGGTGGCGCTTTCAATTTTACTAAAGTACCAACACCACTTTTAGCTTCATTGGATACGAGTGTTACACCTTACCGATGGAATTCTATTAAATCATCTACTAACGAATATACCCCACCACCTCTTACCTATCATTCAGCTCAATTGGTTGACAAATATATGATTGTGGCATTTGGTAATTAATTACACGTAATGTAATATATTATATCTCTGATATTTTGTTTAAAGCATTAATCTATTTCTTTTTCTAGGTGCCAGCATAATAAATGGTAATTATAATTTAACACAAGCCACTAGTAATGCTATTTACATATTGGACACTTCAAGTTATTCATGGGTTCCGTCATTTGATTTAACAAATAATAACGATAATAATTCAACAAATAATCATATTTCATCTAAACTCATTGCGTTAATTGTTGGTATCACAGTTGGCTCAATTATTATTATAAGCCTAATAATTTATTATTTATATAGAAAACATCATCCTCATTATATTGCTACACCAGGTACGATTGATAGTGAACGTCCTACCCAAAATTTGTAACAATATAATTCTTATTCCAAAACTTAAATTCTAGTGAAATGATTGGTTTCAGTGTTATAAAATTTTATTTTTCGTTAATATGTATTCTGGATTGATGAGAAAAAAAATCTAATTATTAATAGTAATTTATTGAATTAATTTGTTAATTTTATTCATTTGTCCAATATTATCTTTATTATTTGTAAATCTTCTTTGGTTATCTTTGGTTGCTTAGTTTTAAGATATTTACTTATTTCTATATAAAAACATTGAAAAAGCACTGTTCCCAATAGCTAGGTTTTTTTTTTTTTTTTTTTTTTTTTAAAAAAAAAAAACCCAAAAATTCTGCGCAACATCTAATCAAATTGCAGGATCAGGTGTAACAGGAATAAAATTTTGACGAACTAAAAAAGAATTGTTGGGTTTCATAATTAAAATTTAGAGTTACCGGTGATTTATTTGTTTTTATTTTCCTCAATCTTCGTGTCGGGTTACAGCTGTTAGCATAAATTCTGGGACACCTGGTTAAAAATTAGCCGAGTAATTATTTTACCGATTCGACATGATTAACAGTTTGTGAAATTTAAATTTAATTTTATGTTCTCACATTTATATAATAGATTTTTTATGTTCTCATATATATATAACCTAAAATTTATATGTTCACGGAGAACATCGAAAACATGATTTTTAATTTACTGTACAAATTGATTTGTAATCAAGTTATCTTTAACGCATCTTCATTATCCGAAGCGAAGCGGAGGACGACACTGCTTCTACTCAAACCATGCAATGTCCAATCAAATTGCTTAATAAGGTGACACGGCGTATTTCTCATATTTCCAAAATTTTTATCATAACTGTTTAACTTGAAATTTATTATTAAACCAGTAGATAAATTATTGATCATATCTTACTTTTTTAATATTAACACCTATTCGTATAATATGTTTACTATCCATATTATATCCAAGGTCTTTTCATATTGCTTATTAAGATTTATTAGTTTACAAGAAATAAACCCGAAAAAAAAAGATAATTGAATTAAAAAAAAAATTTTAATTAAATAAAATTTAATAAAAATAGAACAAAAAACGAACATCGCAACATCGCTTATCACAAATTCAATCTATAAATAGAATTGAATTTTATTATTAGAATTGTTCAAAATCGATTTAAGCGTATATTTTAGAAAGTGATATATTTTTGTCTAAATATCGCCTAATTTCGTGATCGATTTTCGATAATTGATTCTCATCCCTAGGTCAAACTAACTAATAAAGCTGGAACACTATTTCAGATGTGACTTTTTAAAAAATTTCATACAGAATAAAATGAAACTGCTATAATTTGTGCTTTAGGGCAGCTCCCCCAATGTGATCGAGATGTTGCTCAAACATTGCAATTAATTAATTAATTAATTAATTAATTAATTAATTGAAATTGTATTTACGATTAAATGGTAACGATATATTGAGTGCAAATTGCGGATTTTAAAAATTTAACCAATCAAAGTAACTCTATGAAAAAAGATGGTCTGCACTTCCATATTTTATTCATCGGAATAATAACTCTTGTTTAGTAAACCGGTATTCAAATTCCGACTAATTAATATAAATTCAAAAATTAATGGAACTTAAATTATTTTCTATTTTTACGTGAGCGTAAAATTTTTGTTAGCAATTTTGTGTACATTACGTAGATCAAAAAAATTAGCGTAATTACACTAATAAATTCCTTATTGAACAACAATAAAAATTAATTAAAGAATTTTTGCAGATCATCCATAAACGTAAAATAAGAGATTTTAGTTTATAATTTTTGGTTGAGAATTATAAAACATACAATGCGATTTAAAAGTAGTATTTTTATATATACACTACAACTTCAGATATAATATGATATATAATCATATGACAAGCTCCGGACATAATGCCATCGGAATTCCAAATAATTTCAATGCATATGAAGATACCCATTCTGTAACAGGCCCCACGACTTATTAACGTGATCTTGATCAATTATCTATCAACGGTAAGAATATACTGATCACTAATTAAACGATTAACTTCAGATAACTTCTTTTTGTAGTCAGGATAAAATATTTTATATTACAAATAAATTTTAACATCACCAAACTAAGGCTCTTTAAGCAATTATTTATTTATATTGATGTATCAGAATTCGATTATAATGAAATTCTATTTTTGATGGATTAAGTTTAACCTGATATAAAATAAAATAGTGGACATGTGACTAACTAACAGCAATCATACGTTTCTTTAAATAAAAGTGGCTTATTTGATTACTTTTAATCCGGAATTTCCCAAATTTATAACGTAATTGAAAAAATTTCCTAAATAAATTTTTATTTAAAGAAAAAAAAGAAAAAAAAAAAAACAATAATAATAATTATTTACCTTTAACAAAATATTACATATTTTACAATGTCCTCAAATGAAAAAGACAAACAAACAAATAATAGCCGTG